GGTTGGGAGCACACGATCTGACTCACCTGTGTTGGCGTCCCCCATGATGTAGCTGTCCACAACTGCCCACCATGCACCCCAGCCAATGGCCACCACAGCCCACCACTGCTCACCACAGCCTACCACTGCTCACCACAGCGCACCACTGGGGGTGGRGGGGGGGGGGGGGGGGGGGGGGGGGGGGGGGGGGGGAGAGAGAGAGAGAGGGAGAGAGAGAGAGAGAGAAAGAGAGAGAGAGAGAGAGGGAGMKRGAGMKGWKGACGACCAACAGTAACAGGGAGTGCGCTTCACAACGAACAACAACAGGGCGCTTTCCAAACAGCATCAAATCAAATGAACGAACGAACAAACGACAGCTGATTTCTGACAGGCCACTACGTGACAACGCGGCTTGACAACTTGCGGCAGGTCACGGGCAGCGCACGGGACCGGGTTTGCCCATTGGGAATCCCCTGAACAGAACGGACCGACGACGGACAGCCTTCCGGAACCGGTTGGCCCGTTGGGCTGTTTCTGCACACGGGCTCCCCGATGGCCGAACCGGTTCGATTGCAGTCATCGGCCTCTGCCAGATCGATGGTCCGGATGGCGCACGGTCTTAAGATCTTATAAGACTGCACGCCCATCCGAACCATCGATCCAGCGGAGGCTGACGGCCGAGATCTTAGATTTATTACATGGTGCAGACTATCCAGGCCATGCGCCGGTAGGACCGTGACGGCCCTTAGCAATTTTAATAATGTAGAGATTTTGATTACCTGAGTTACTTTCAGGAGTTTACCTTTTATCTCGCCTTGGTTGTCTCGTCTCTCCTATCTCTCTTCTTCTTCTTCTGCTTCTTCTTCTGCTTCTTCTTTTGCAATGGGTCACAACTTGTTCATTTCGGTTGGTCGAGCCGACATGGTTAGGGGCAGCATAGATCTGCGAGAACAAAACTGATTGCTGTGTATAAGGCAAGTGTTTGGGTGCATGTGAGGACATGCAGCGGGACATCGATCACATAGCAAAGGCCATCAGGATCATTCCCTACAATGTCTAGAACCGTCCGGGCCATGAAATACTGTGGGGTTAACTTCCGTAATATGTCCTGCTCTGGCGTAAACTCAGATGCTCAAACCCAGGCCCGATCACCTACCTGGAACGTGGACATCCATCTGTGCTGATTTGCCGTGTCTATCATTGCCCAGGAAAAAAAAAACAACGAAACCACAACGTGCAATTGTAATCGTACTTTCCGTTCTCCTTCTCTTTTCTTTCCTCTTCTTCTTTTCTTCTCTTTCACAGGGTGCATTTATGTGATTGAGCAGGAAGTGACCACACACCTGTCTGCTTACCAGAAACAAACTTTCAACTAGAGCAGTCGTCCCAGGTGGAAAGAGCAGCTATCTTGCACATGATGGAGATAAAACATGGGAGCACAAATCTGAGGACAAACACGGTTCTGGTAGAAATCTCAGAGAAGACACGAAAACTGCAGGAAAACTTTGCTTTGTCGTTCTGCAATCTATCATGATCAATTTTGTTGCGGCAGTTTCGAATTTCTTTGTCAATCATCTCGGATTTTCTCTCTCGCCCCCCCCCCCCCCCCCCCCCCTCCCTCCCTCCCCTTCCTCTCTTCACTTTTTCTTTTCTTCTCCTTTACAGGGTGCAAGGTACCCCAGATCTGCGCGGTTGCGCAGGAAGTGCACACACAAAACGTCTGCTTACCAGAAGCCAACCTACAGTCGCTGCAAAGACTAAGACGAGGACGGCAAGAAGCAGGACGGAATAGCGAGTTAGGACAACAGAGAAGAAGATCAACCTAACCACATCACGCCATGTCTGGGCGCAGAGGATGGATATTTCACAACAACGAAAGGCAAGACAGTGCTCAGAACAAGGTTCCCCATATCTGTGCGGTTGGGCAGGAAGTGCACACACAAACCGTCTGCTTACCAGACGCCAACCTACAGTTGCTGGGAAGACTAAGACAAGGATGGCAAGAAGCAGCATGGAATAGCGGGATAGGACGAGAGGAGAAGATTCACCTAACCACATCGCACTATGTCCGGGCGCAGAGAGGATGGACGTTTCACAACTCGTCAACGAAAGGAACGACAGTGCTCAGAGACAGATCGACACGATAAACATATATCTACCAAACCACTCCATCATAATGTTGCTGGCACAGAATCACAGGTGTCTACGACGGACCAAGAATCAGTGTGCCTATGATCCCACAGTAGGAATGCCCGAAGCCGGCCAACAGAGTCTCCGGTTCTGCAATAGACGCAGGGATGCAGACAGACAACATGCAATCAGTTCAAGGAAAACTAATCGGTGCCAGATAAGGGCTATGTACAGTAGGCCTATCAGCAGTACGCCTGCAGCCGAACGTTAGTAGCAGATAGTCCACAGTGATACTGAAGACGTTGCGATTGATCAGGAAGCGGAAACCAACCGGAAAACAACAATAAAGCCCTTTTCGGCAGCATAATAACTGTCTTGCAGGTGTGTCCAGCCCTAGACCATTGTCGGGATCCCGCCTGGATCACTGTCGGGATCAAACAGATTGCCCTCACAGCATCAAGTTGGAACGCGTGTCATCGTTGTTCGTTCGGCCTGAAATGTCAAATAAGAGACCGTAAAGCCCTTTTCGGCAGCATAATGACTGTCTTGCAGGTGTGTCCAGCCCTAGATCATTGTTGGGATCCAGACCGGATCACTGTCGGGATCAAACAGATTGCCCTCACGGCATCAAGCATCAAATTGGAATGCGTGTCATCGTTGTTCCTTCGGCCTGAAATTTCAAATAAGAGACGCCTCTGCTTCCTGTTTTGCGCCTTTGGCTCCACTCTGGCGACAGATCAGGTGCGAAGCGTCTGCTCAAGTACAAAACAAATGGGAGTGCTTGCTACTCTTCTCCATATCGTTCCAATTTAAAAGGGATGTTTCAAAGGACAGGCATGAAATTGTCAAAAAAGCAGATGCCGTACAAA